GTTAGTATTAAATTTGTAGTTTGGTGTCGGGCTTCAGATCTTATCTCAATAGGTCAGGATGGGTTGCGGCACTAATTGGTCATATGTGCAAGTGGCAGGATGGTTGCGGTATTGCATGTCACAGTTTTGAGGTGGGAACTCTGTCAGCAGTAGCTTAGTATGGCTTTTATATGGTGTAAGGAACGTGATGTCTTGTGCATGGATCGGCAAATTTAAATCTAGCACAGGAATGGTGGACTCCACCACTAATAATGAAAACTACAGTAGCTACTTACAGATGCAATGCAAGATGAAATATTGCTGACAATAAATATCAAAAATGTGCTTTGATTTCATGAAATTTTTAAGGATTATACTTCTCCTCACAGAAGGATTTGAGGAATCATCATACAGCAATTACATCGTAATTGTACCATCTTCTTTTCTCCAGACGTCGGCGGTTGAGAGTGCGTGCCAGCAGCACTAGTGACGCAGACTTCCTCGCCAGTCTGACACAGCTGATGCAGGACCGTAGCGGGATGCTCTTTAGCCCCCCTCCTCGCCCTCGCAGCTCCTCCTCCTCCCTGCAGCGCTCACTAAGCTCCTCCCCCTCGCGGCAGGAGCTCCGAGAGGGCGGGGCACTGCAGGGACGCAGCCGCTCGCCATCGAGCTTCTCCAGCTCCCCTCCTCCGCGGCACCCACACGACAGGTCCGTAGGGCCGGCTCAGTGGGGCCAGAGCTCCAGCAGGGGCAGGGGTCTGATCCACGAAGGTAAAGGCTCCGGCAAAGTGAACCGATGACTGTATTTGACGCACACGTGACTGATCCGGATGGTGCAACTGTAGCGAGAGGCTGTCCCCCATCCAGTCGCTGATAGCATGTGTAAATACGGTATTTACTCAAGGGAATGTACTGTATGTAATGTAAAATGTATAAAATGTATTTATTTATTTATTCATCGTTGGATGTGTCTCTCAGAAATACTTGACGATGTGGCTTGATACCTGCAGTTGAAACATAAAAGGCTGAGGAAACCTTGAGATTGCCAACTCTTACCTCTCATCTCACTCCTAACTCTCCATGTAGGCCTAATACCAGACCAAAAAGATAATGTTTAATACTCGAGGGATGTAAAAATGACGCTAATTGTAGATATGTACCATGAGGAAAATAGCAAACACTAATAGAAACCATGTACTCACGTTAAGAACACTAATAGTAATTAACACCACGCGCAGTATACCAACATCGGTATTCATGTACAGAACCAGGGCATGCAGCCCGTATTGACCTCACTCTTGTAAACCAGCTAGATTAATTATCGTATGTGACAATGAATTGCTCATTTGGCATATCACAGTGTGGTAGTGTGCTTTTACTTTGCTAGAAAATATTTGTCATGCAGAAAGAGGCATCCACATATTAGAATGTACATGTAAGTGCACTCATACTTGAGTATTGTAGAAGTGCATGAGTATCATTGCAAATGATTTTTTGTTTTTTTGGTTTATTTTTATTCATTTGTACAATCTGCTGCGACATCTGTATTTTTATTGAACTGCTTCTGATCAAAGTACATCATAATGTAGACCAGCAACGATGTGCAGTTTTATTTCATACATCCAGTAGATGGAAAAAGGAAGAAAACTGATAAAAATGAAACCTGTTCATCACGTCTGACTGTTGTCGCATTTTATTTTTATCACAATTTAAAATTGGATCTCATAGATTCAACAAGGTGCTGGAAACATTCCTCAGAGATTTTGGTCCATATTGTCATGATAGCATCACACAGTTGCTGCAGATTTGTCAGCTGCGCATCCATGATGTGAATCTCCCGTTCCACCACATCCCAAAGGTGCTCTATTGGATTGAGATCTGGTGACTGTGGAGGCCATTGGAGTACAGTGAACTCATTGTCATGTTCAAGAAACCAGTTTGAGATGATCTGAGCTTTGTGACATGGTGCGTTATCCTGCTGGAAGTAGCCATCAGAAGATGGGTACACTGTGGTCATAAAGGGATGGACACGGTCAGCAACAATACTCAGGTAGGCTGTGGTGTTTAAACCATGCTCAGTTGGTACTAAGGGGCCCAAAGTGTGCCAAGAAAATATCCCCCACACCATTACACCACCACCACCAGCCTGAACTGTTGATACAAAGCAGGATGGATCCTGGATCTGCTGCTGTAGCCCATCTGCTTCAAGGTTGGACGTGTTGTTGGTTCAGAGATGGTCTTCTGCAGACCTTGGTTGTAACCAGTGGTTATTTGAGTCACTGTTGCCTTTCTATCATCTTGAACCAGTCTTGCCATTCTGCTCTGACCACTGGCATCAAAAAGGTCACTGGGTATTTCCTCTTTTCGGACCAACCTCTGTAAACCCTAGAGATGGTTGTGTGTGAAAATCCCAGTAGATCAGCAGTTTCTAAAAAACTTAAATCACCTTTCTTCCCCATTCTGATGCTCAGTTTGAACTTCAGCAGGTCGTCTTGACCATGTCTACATCCCTAACTGCATTGAGTTGCTGCCATGCGACTGGCTGATAGGCTAATTGTGTTGACAAGCAGTTGAACAAGTGTACCTAACAAAGTGGCCAGTGAGTGTATATTACAGTAAGTGATTTCACTAAATGCCAGTTCTCAAAATGTTACGTCTGGCAGGATCTACTGAGGGAATGGAAATTGATAAGATTTTACTGATACCAGTGTCATTATCGATTCTGCTTATAGGTCAGCTTCTCTTCCTGATCAATTTTTTTGTGTGTGGGGAAAAAAAGTTGGCCCACATAGGTTTTAACTGAAAATGTTTTATTGTCTCTTTGCAGCAGTTGCACTCATGCATAGAGTGTCACATACATGTGATTTCTAGAATTTAAGTCCATGTTGCATAGAAAGATATACCAGTGTATTGCTGGTTTCTTCCTCTCTGACATGACTCCTCCTTGTTGGAAGTTTCCAGTAGCGTATACGCATGACTTTGACGCCATTGTTTTGCAATGAACAACTGTCTGAAAAACATGCTGGCATTGATAAAAGGAATCAATAACATCAGAGGCATACTGTTCCAATGGATTGGGCAATTTGGAACCGGTTCTTCAGTCCCATCATTGCACCTGCTGCATTTTTTGATGTGATTAAAGGGCCAGTTCACCTAAATTTACCCATTAGTTCTTTATTAGCTCCCAGCAGTGTGCAGATAGTTTTGGTTTTATTTGCCCGAGATATTACTAGGGTTGTACCTGACTCAGAATTATGTCAGTTGAATCAGATTTGGTTGTTCAATGCGAATACTCAATGATCAGTGGGTTTTTTTTTTCCATATAAAGTTTTAAAGTTTGAATGGTTCAGAGTGACGATGGCATTCATGTAATACAGTAAACAAACTAATGGTGCTAATGACCAATCAGAAATCAGCAACAATTTTTTTTTCCATTGCTAGTTATCAAACAAAAACCAGAGACTGTGTCATGTCAACTTGCTTCGAGCTGTAAACTCCACACTTATAAGCAGAGGAGAGAGGATAATGTTTACTCAGAACCTTTCGTTGGAAGGTTTTTCCTCCTCTGTGCAGCTGCATCTTGTCTGCAGCTGACTCTACCAAGGAGTATCGTGAAAGTCAAGAGTGCTCACTCTGCAGCAAAATCTGGGAACCAAACCGTCCCCAGAAATACACTGCACAACTGCTCAGTTTGAAGCAATCTCAGTCGACTGTTTGGTCTCCAACCGATGATTCAAATCTCTGACTTTCAGGGGGCATCCCTTGAAATTTTTCCTGCCACCTTGATACAGTTGAATGCAAATTGTTTTGTGGTATTTACAGCAATGGAAAACAGCAGCAGTGCCCCTGTTACTCTGGGTAATTCTCAGGTGATCACTGTGGGTGGATTATATTTTTAGAGCAAGTTTCTGTGAAAAAAATAGTCCTGAGCTTAGCTGTGCTTTCAGTGATCAGATAACTGAAGAAAGGGCAGTCAAGGCAGACTGATAAACCTTGAGCAAACACACTCAAATGATGAAGCAGTGTTTATTTTTTCTCAAGTTAAACTCAAGTCACACCAGCTCAGACTGCAAAATGTCCCCTGACAACAATCGCCTGTCAGGTTCTGTCACAGCAGCTGTTTTCCCAGACAGACTTCTCTGTAAGCACAAGAGAGACTGCTGATGAGCTGGTGACTGAATAGAGGGGGTCACCAGATGACGACAGGGAAATGAAGGCTCCTCCATCTGTTGTGCTCACTGTTTAAAGTTTAACAGCAGTAACTGACAGGAGGTTAAAGGACGTGTGGACATAAACAGATTAGATCTCAGAGATAAGCGCTAAAATCCTTTAAATAAGTGCAAGATTTATCGTTCTTTGGGCTTTCTTGCCACATACTTTTACCAAAACATCCCTCAGGTTTCTCAGTGTCTATGTACGTACATAAGAGAGGGGGTGCATTAAATATGAAGGGTGCAGTATGGCTGATATGGGTAGGTTATGAATCAGTGCTGCTACACAGGAAACTACATCAAACGGCCAGATGTTGAGCAACATCCACTAAAAACGTCCCCTCAGTAGCTGTTTAGAAGCTTTAAAGTTTGACCGTCTGTCATGGAAATGTTTGAAATTTTTCTGAGCCCTTTTCTCGTCTACACTGGCTCACAAATATACGTTTGAAAGTTCAGTCTTGACCTTGTGGTGTTTTTATCTCAAGCAACCATCCCCAAATTTGGGCTGCACAGCATCTGTGCTCAGAGCTTAACATAATCAAAACACTCCAAACTGTTTGGTGGCTATGAGCCATACTATTTGGGGGCAAGCTACTTGGTAAAATAAATAATTTTGAACCATATAAGCTGATAAACATTTTGTTTTTAAAATATCCTAACGATTGAAACAACCATTTAGCCATTTTTAAATCAAATTATAGCTATTTTTTGGATAATTAACAAACCCTCTAACTCCAATAGCTGCATGTCATTCTGACTTTGCAACATCAGATATAATGTCTCAAGCAGTAAAATGCAGACGGTAATAAATCCTTACTAGTAAAAAATGTTTATTTACAGTACATCAATTCACATACAGATTATCTGGTCTTGTCATGGATAATAAAAAGCAACGTCCTGCTCAACTGGTATCAGCATACAGTGGTTTATAAACAGACAAGGACTTAAAATATGGAATATATAATTGAAGAGGTGCATTAAAATTTAAAAGGACGATAACCAGCAGCCAGCAACACGTCTGTGGAGGTGACACTCGATCTAAAACATGAATCATGACCTGCTGGTGTGACGTCTAGAAGAGAGGCGCAGACTGTCTGGGGTCATCTGGTAACACACTGATGGAGTCCTCTGCCTTTCCACACAGCATGCAGAGCATAGTGTACTCCTGGACAACACATAACAGATGTAATATACATACTGTACAAGGCAGCAACTAACACATACAAATACAGCTCACCATATGGTTAATAAACTAGTGTGCAGACACCTTACCTGGTATTCATCAACAACAGAGAAAGTGTATTCGTGCCTGGCGATGACGTGGTCACAGTTTTTGCAGACATCTGGAAAGAGAAATGGGCATTGATGGATTATTTTTAAACATACTGAAGATGAGTTTCTTAGAAGGTGGGCGTTGTTACCATTGACTTTTGGTGAGTTGTGACAGATTTTGTAAATTTTTCTTCATACACTGTATAGCCATTACCATTCTGACACATTAATATTCTGCTTTAACAGCCTCCGCCCTTCTTTAAAGGTTTTCCACAAGATTTTGGAACCTAGCTGTGGGGATTGTTCCCATGAAGGCACAATCGCAGTAGTGAGGTTGGCCTGATGTTAAAGGAGAGCTACGCTCATTTTCAAAATTCACATAAGTTATTCCTACAATCCAAAAATATTTTACGATATGAACAACTCTCTCCCAAAAACTAAAGTGCTCAAACTCAAAGTTGTGATGTCATCAAGTATAGAGTCTGGAGCTGCTCCAAAGACAAAGACTTGGGAAAGATATTATTGATGACACTTAAAAGCACCCAGGGGAATGTTCTGAGTATATGGGTACATTTTCTGTTTCAGAGCTGAAAACATTGGAATAGAATAAAGCTCATTTGAGTGTAGATCGAATCAATGTAACGTCATGCTCACAACAGTCACCTCCGGGTAGACAACTGGCAAATGATTTGAATTGCCGACATGTGAAATCCACAAACTTGTTAATTTCTGTTGTTATTTTCAGCTGTGACCTTAACGTTTTAAGATGTAGAGTTAAACATGATGGTACGACTGAAAGGGCTTTCTGACAGCAAGGTAAGGCCATGAAAATACTCTAAACATAGCGTACACTTTAACTGAGATTATTTTTTTAGTTAGGGCGTTTTTAAGGCGGCTAAAAAAAATGTTTTACATTTCATGTACATGATATGGGAGTAGAACCTGCAAGTTATTATAAACACACATTACCATGCGGTCTATAAAAAAGGAAACAAGCTTTCTGTGGGTCCTCAAAATCAGCCTCACGTTTATTGTCTATGAAGCAGCTTCCGACTTTATATGTGATGACATTATGAGTTTGAGTACTACTTTTGTGGTTTCTAGCTTTAAGAGAGAGAAGCTCATGTTCACAAATATTGATTGGAGTTTCCTAGACCATGTAAATAACTAGGGCTGCACAGTTAATTAAAACATTATCAAAAACGCAATATGGCCAATTGCAGGAGCTGCATTTTTTTTGATGAAAGTAAAAACAAAGTCCCAACATGCCATTATAAATGAAACATTGTGGTGCCATAGAGATGCCCCAGCCGACAAATCATGTCCAAGACATAAGAAAAAGTGTTTGCTCGGTACAGACCCCAGCAAAGATATCATCATCCTTTTAATGTTTTTTTTAATTTATTCATTTCCGTAACCCTTGTCCTGTTAGGGGTTGCGGGGGTGCTGGAGCCTATCCCAGCTGACATTGGGTGAGAGGCAGAGTACACCCTGGACAGGTCACCAGACTATCACAGGGCTGACACATAGAGACAGACAACCATTCACGGCCAATTTGGACTCATCAATTAACCTGTTGTGCATATCTATATCTATCTCAGGTTCATATGCCCCACCTTGGGCTCGAACCAGGACCTTCTTGCTGTGAGGCGTCAATGCTAACCACTGCACCACCACCATGAAAATGAAATGCAAAAATCACCATTCCCACTAAAATCTGTTCATAAATTGCATTATAATTTCTTGTGCATATTGTGCAGCCCTGGAGATACTATATTGAAATTCTTACTTTAAGAGGTGTTCTCCTTTAGACCAGAGCTCTGTGCAGGCCTGTTAAATACTTATGGACTGTGGCATGTTGAAACAGGAAAAGAATCTTCCTCAAACTGCTGCCACAAAGTCGGAAGCACACTAGTACTACTTTACTACACACTAGCACTACTAAAACACCACTGCATGATATTATTTAAGATTAACCTCAGCCTGAGTCAGCCCAAATCTGACAGTGCATAAACAGTCGAATCATACTTTTAAATCTAAAGGTTTTTCCCCACCACAATAAAAAACGCTTGGTGAAGTTGTGTGAGGAGCACAAGAGGAAGAAGAGTGACTAACGGTCATATGTGACGATCTCCTCTCCATCATCATCCTCTGTGGCTTTATTGCTGATCAGCACAAAGTCCCTCTGGTGGCAGTTGGCACAGCCCAGGTAGTTCATCAGGTAGGAGCCATTCTCCAGACAGGTGTTGCCCTGAGCAGCACATCACAGGACCACAGTTAACTCTTTATGCTTTACCAATGGCGCCCTGGAATTTAGCCTTAAGCCTTAACATTATACCAAAACATCATCTTTTGAGGTGCTTGGTTTTCCTGTCCTTACATAAATTAGCGTTACTCACCATAGCTAACTAGCTAACTATCACCCTTACTTACTAGTATACCAAGTGGGCGTTGTGCCCTAAAAATAAGTAGTAAGTAAGTAGTAAGCTTGTTGCCTCAACTTACCCGGTCCGGGTATTCTTTCTGCACGCAGCCGTTGCACATTTTAACTTTAAAAGCCTATTTTATTCAAGTCAGTTGGCGATAAAACACTGTCAACAGCCTTTTTAGGGATGCGAAAACATCTCTTCCGCACTGGACGGTGGCCCCTGCGGCTCATTAGAGTTGTAAAACACCGTGGTCAGCGGACATCGTTGCAAACCGCCCAACTGTAATTTGTAGATCTATGAAGACCGCCCGCCGCTGCCTCACTTCCGGTGTCATCTCCGAACGATTGGGAGACGTCACGGCTACGTAATTTACGTGCGCAAACATGGCGGTTGAGCTGCAGTAGAGTTTTGTTGCCATGTGAAAATTGTCTGGTAAATATGAGGCATTTAAATTTTATAGATACTATTCATGTCAGAACAGTCGGTTAGGATTTAAGCTAAGTGCTGTTAACGTTACCCAGCGGCTGGTGTTAGCTGTAATGCGCGGACCGTTAGCTTGTTTAGCTCACCTCAAACGTGCTTCAGTGAACGTTGGCTAGCTTTGACTTGACACCCACGTTGTGCAGCTGTTAACACTGGATTACTGCAGTGGTGTGTTGGTTATACATTGTGTCATTGTGTTCACCCTAATGTCGATATTACGTAAAATATCACCTACAGTTTATGTCGCATAGGCCCAAGGCTTTTATTCTGTGATGGTATGATGCTATTGAGACACTGCAGTTAGGCTGTATTTATCCTGTGCTGCAGAGCTTTGTTTTCACATATGTGCTGTTCTTGTGTTCACCTGTTTAGAAATGGCAAAGGTTCAAACCCCAAATGAAAAGGTGGTGAAACCCCCTGTGAAGAAAAAGAACAACCACAACTCTAAAAACTACAAGAACACCAAAAGGAACTACTGTATTCTGTGTCGCAGGTTTCATATGAAACATGTAAGTGGCTCTATATTTATCAATACATTTTAATGAGTAACACTGCTGGGCTGCTGGATATGGGTTTTCCTACAATATTGAGCTGTCACAAAAGATTTATAATCTTGACGTTATGTCTCTTTACTACAGGAAGCACAAGAGCATGTGCATAGTATGCTGCATCACAGGGAGCTGGAGACTGTGCTGGGCAAGTGAGTGATATTAGTCAACGACAGTTTCATTTAAGAATTATTTAATTTCATCTTTTTTTTTTTTCATGAGGGATGCAAAAATACACAAATGAACACTAGGGCTGCAACTAACCATTATTTTCATTGTCGACTAATCATTTTATCGAAAAATGTGTTAAAATATTGAAAAATGTCGGTCTGTCTCTCCCAAACCCCAAAATGATGTCATCTAATGTCTTGTTTCGTACTCACGCCAAAGGGTTTTAGTTCGTCATGGGAGAGTGTGTAAAGTCGCCAATGTTTGAACGTAAGAAGCTGCAATAAGAATATTTTGGGGTACTTTTATAGTACTTTTCTATGAAAAATGACTCAAACCGATTAGTCGACTACTAAAATCATCACTGATTATTTTAATAGTCGATTAGTCATCGATTAGTCGACTAATCGTTGCAGCCCTGATACATTTTGGTGGGGGGTGTAGTATGATCTGAGAAAAGAAGTAGAAGGATGGCACCCATAAAAAAATCACTGTATGTTCCAATACCCATACATTTAGTGTGTCAGAAAACAGTATGTCCCAATATACAGCATGTCAAATGCAGTATGCCATAAATACCAGGATGTTCTATTACATGAGGCCATCTTTTGCAGTTTGCAAGCCAACATGCTTTTTTGGCTATTCTGACCCACAATCCTCAGCACAGTGGCTTGCATACTGCAAAATATGTCACATCAACTGGGCTGCAAAAAGATGACAGCTTGACAGCTAATTGACAGCCCTTAGAAGTCGCAATAACGGCTGACAGCGCATTGAAGTAACTGATGACATGTTTGAATAGCAATTGGAATGTTACTTATTTAAATAAACTAAATAATCATAAAGATTACTAACAAGAAAAGGACATAAGTTTGAAAATATCAATAGAAATGCATGTGTAATTTCACTGCTGTGAATATAGTGTTAGAATCTACAATGTATGCAGTTATAATTTAAAAGCAAAACTACATACATTGCAGAGCTCTCCGGGTTGACCTCAGGACATTATGTTATGAGAAAGCAGTATGTCCCGATTGTGTGCATATTGCATGCAACAGTATGTACTTTTAAAGGGCAGCCGCAGTACATCCTGAAAGTAAAAACAAAAAGTAAGCTATTTGGAGTGCACCCCTGTTCTATTTCTATGATGACACCATATGTACAACATATGTTTAGGCTGCATTCCTCAGGAGTATTTCCTTCAGCGAGAAGTTTGACTCATAAAGATAATTGTTTGTAGAAAAGCAGGTTTATATTTGTCAATGTAAGGTCTTAAAAAAATATTGTATTGGTATCGTATTGAAACTCAGGTGTTGTGTTGGCATTAGTATCAAAAATATCAAATTATACCCAACCCTGACATACTGAGAACCCATAATCATAACATGCATTGGCCCAAAACTCTCATGGGCACCATTTTGTTGTTTTGATCTGAACAGAGAGCTAAAAGCAGGGACTCTGACATCTCCTCATGTCCGACAAAAATGGTGTTTGTTGTGTTTTTTCATTATCAGGGATTCATTTCATGAGTGTCAGGCGTGTAAGGCCTCCTCCATGGGTTTAAACGAGTACGCTCGGCACATCTCCACTGCTGAACACAAAGCCAAGTTGAAGAGCTTGACGCAGAAGAAGGTGAAGGCCCTCTCTCTGTTCAAGACTCTGGACAAAGAGACCATGGGCCAGATCCTGGAGAGAAACAAGACACTAAAAAAAGAGGAGTAATAATTTATCCTGTATATCTGTTTGCATTTTATTCTCTCCGTGTTGTGATAAGTTTTAATAACTTGTGTTTTTTTTTCATTACAGGAAGAAAGCAATGAAAAAGAAAAAGAAGAAACTGAAGCAGATAGCTGGTCAGAAGCGTGCAGCCATGCAACAGGGAGGCAGCCATAAAAACATGGCGGTGTCCAATGTAGCGAGGCCGGAAAAATCCAAACAAGTGAAACAGGGAACGTACCAGCAGGAGAGAAATGATGCTGTTGTTCAAAACAAAGAGAATAAAGTATCCAGTCTGCAAAGACCTCTTTACCAAAGAGAATCAGTTTTGCAGTCTCAAAGTGGAAGATTGACTTATTTGTCAGGAGAACCTGCAGGTCGAACTCTGCATTGCTCTAATGTTCGAGACCAGTCCACCCAATCAGCACAGCAACCTGACAACTATTCAGTCAAAACTGAGAGCTCCCAATCGGACAGACTTAATAGGAGACCACAAGGAGGTGTCACTAACAAGCCGGGACAAAAATCATGGCCTACCAACAGCCAGAATGACTATTACAACAAGCAGTATGATGGAGACTTCACCAGTGACCAGCTTCCTCATAACGGAGCCATCATCTTTGGTCACGGCCAAAATGAGAGCACGGAATCTTCTCAGCCAGGACGAGAAGGTTCAGCTCACCATGCTTCAGTGAGTGGATCTGCCAATGCAGCTCCCATACGGGATGTCGACATCAGCGCGATGCTACGGCAAATCAGAAGAGCGCTTGGTGTGAGGGAGCCGTGCAGAGCTGACCGTGAAGCCCGGAAGCAGAGCAGTGAGGCGGGTGTCCGGGTGACTGAGAAAGAGTCGCCGACAGGCGGGTCCTGTAGGAGGCACGCCAAGGAGGCTACACTTCCCGTCACTTCTGCTGCAGCTCCATCTGTGCAGTCTTCACAGGTCAACAGCCCTGCTCATGCATCCCATTCTGGCGTTTCTTCGTCCAGTGTTGCTCCTCCTGAGCCAAAGCAGACGACATTTAGAACGACGCAGGGAGCGACACAACAGTGTGAGAAAAGCTCAGTGTCTGCAAGTGACTCAAATAGAGCATTAAACAGCAAAGAGAGAGAATCTCAGGCCCCGCCTGACAGCCAGACCTCTGAGCCTACCTCGAACATCACCCGCAGGGTTCGAATCGCCCACAGATCAGCCATAGTTCAGGGGGGAAATGCGGCTGGACTTAAACCAACCCTGAATAAAGTGTTCAGCTTATCAGGGGGCAGTAGTAAGTCGAACTGGAGGGAGATGTATGAGGAGAGGAAGAAGCAGGCGAGGGGCAAAAGCATGCCCAGGTAACCTCTTCATGTCTTTTCCGCTGTATCCATTTTAACCTGTATTTGCCAAACAGGGATTTTTATTTGTTGTTTTAATTCTGTGTGGTAACAGGTTTGGAATTCAGCTGGCAAACCCTCTGTCGTACCAACAAAGCTCAACACAAGCAGAATCTGACATGACTCTGTCAGAGGGCTTCCACTGGGAGTCGTTCCCAAACAGTCCTTCAGCTGCACACTGGACTGGACTACCTCCTCCGCCCCAGGACACAGTATATAATGACTCTCGCACAGAAACCCAGTCAGCTCCTCAGGTGCAGGAGCCTTTGGAGCCACCTGGTGCAGCTCAGGAAGGCTGCAGCAGGCCAACGGTCCACGCCGTCTCTGTGAAGATGGAGCAAAGCTGTGAGGATGAGAACGGAGATTTGAGAGCCAGCAGTGGTGCCAGCAAGAGGAAACACAACATGGTGAGTGTAGGTCACAGCTGGAAGATCCAACTAATAGATTTGTATTATTGGAATTTAATTGTTGTGTGTTCTTGCAGTATGATGACGTTTCTGATAAGCAGTCAAGTGGAAAAAAGAAGAAAACAAAGTCAAACACAGGTAATTCTCACATTTGAGAGCTCTAAGCGACCAATGAAATGTTGCCGACCTATGAACTTTCTGAGTGACTAATCTTTGGTCGACTATTGGAGCTAGCTTCCTTTATTTGTTATTGTCTTTTTTGAAAGGGGCAAATGTAAATATATGCACATCATGTGTAGGTACAAGCAAGGCTACTGTACAACGACATAACTGAGAAGGATAATGCCTGCACACTGACTCTGAACCACAGATTCATTTAGACAGATGATGTTTTGATTCCGGTCAAGTTGTCACATTAAAGAAAGAAATGTCATCCAGTAAATCTCAGTGTGTATTTTTCCCTTTCTTCCTGCTGCACAGACCAGGGCCAGATGGACCAGCTGTTGGCTGTGTCTCTGAGGGAGGATGAGCTGAGCCACTCGTTGCAGGATTTGGACAGGTCTCTGATCCAGGCCCGCAGTGCCCTGCAAGCTGCCTACACAGAGGTCCAAAGACTCCTGCTATTGAGACAGCAGGTAACACCACTAATGGAGCTACATAAATCTGTTTTACTGTTTCCTCAGGTGTCTTTTCATTTGTTTACATTAAACTGTTCTTCCTGCTGTTGTAGTTTACTGCTGAGATCAACAGTCTGAGAGCCCAGCGCATTGAAATCCTGCAGGGGATGCAAGGTACAGTCAGTTTACCCTTTGCTTTAAATGACCTCATACGCAACAAGTAGTTTACCTTTGTCTTTCTTCATCTCTCTCAGGAGGATACTCAGGAGCATCTACTATAACAGAAAGAGCCACCACCTCACCAGCAGGGGCACGACTCTCTCCCCTTCCTTCCTCTAGTGCCTTCCCCACTCAGCCATCACCCACAAACCCAGTATCTTCCATCAGCCCCCTTGCCCTGACAGCCATGCAAGTAAAGCAAGAAATCTTCCAACAGTCCGCAGCAGGACAGGCCAGTCAGTTTGCCAAAATGCTCCCCTGTAACTCTGAGACACCTCAGGTACCTGCGACCCAACCTGTCCCCTTGTTTCCCGCTGATTTGCTCCCCTCACTGCTGCTGCCATCAACAAGCTTAGCTGCTCCAACAACTGCTGACACCTCTCTGAAACAACTCCAATCTGAGCCCTCTGTATCGCCAAATGTAAATCAGCAGACTGTGAGGTTAGCGAGCGAAGAAGCACAGCCAGCTGACAGTGATTCTGAGGAAGAGGCAGGAGGAAATCTCAGCACAGAGCAAGTTAAAGGAAAAGAGCCAGCAGCAGAGAAGTCTGACTCCACTTCAGCCCCCAAAAGAGGTCAGAATGCATCTGCTGCAGCATCAGACGACGATGGAGGAAGTGAGAGCGACGCCTCTGTCAAAATGATGGAGCCCTCCAACCCGGTGGTCATTGATATCGATGAATCAGACAATGAGGACGCACCAGATGATCCAGTCCAACAAGAGCCCCCTGAGAAGTCTGTCAGTGTGGAATTTAATTCTTCAAGCACACAGGCGGTTCAGGATAATGATGCTGAGAGGTGAGATCACAGTTGGTATAGAATCCTGAACATTACGAGCATTGCTTTATTTATAAGTGTGAAATGCGACTAACTCTTTTCTCTTCTCAGGAAAGTTCAGCCAACAGCTGTGCCAGTGAAAGATGCCAGTGTTCCCTCGGGTGAGTGTTATGTCTCCTGCTAACCCATGTCCCTAAAGCCACAAAGAACATGTTGGCCAATCAGCAGCCTGAAGAAAGCTATTTGTGGAGGGCTGCTTGGAGCAAGGACCTCCGTAGCATTCTGACGCCTCTGTTCTTTTCCAAAAACACTTTTCTGGCCATTATTCATCGCCATAACTCAGGAACAGAAGGGAAGAAATTGGGTCAGATACTTGATTAGTGACACCAGTCTTGGGTGGCCCCCTAAAACTGTGCTAATCGTATAGATCTTCTGCACAGCTGGGGGGAAGATGTATGTGATGTAGCAACATCCATATGTGAAGCATTGTCTCCTGTCATTGCTGCATATTAGCCTGGACAGACATTGATGTAAACTTCAACTTGATTGGTTGGTGGAGGTATACAACCACAAGGCAGTACATTGAAGGTTTTTTTTTCCTCAGAGGGTGTTGAGAATGAGGAGCCATCTGTGGGAGCTTTTTTGAATCACACAGGACCAGTCCACGGCCTCCAGGTTCATGAGGGTCGACTGTACACGTGTTCAGGGGACAACACGGCGCGGGCCTACGGTCTTATGGTATGTTGATTACAAAATTTTGCCCCTGCTGACAGCTGCATCCTTCCTCAGACATTAAACAAATCTTATTAAACTACGACAATCCGTCTGTGTCATGCAAACTGTTCTTTGCTTTTTACTTGTTGTGAAAAAATAACTAATTATTTTTCAGGTAAAGAAAACACACAATAATCTTTATGCACTGCTGTTGTTGCTGCTGTTACATTGAATTTATTACATATATAGTTATGCAATTTTTTCGACATACCAAGCACCTAAGGCAATGGATCATAATAAGATGTATATTTTGTCTCTGTGTATCCAGAACAGGGAGTACCAGGCCGTGTTTGAAGGTCACACAAACAAAGTCAACTGTCTGCTGGTAGCATCGTTCCCAAACATGCCGGCGCGCCTCTACACCGGATCCAGTGACCAGACTATCCGCTGTTACAGCATAAAGGTACAAAACGTCTGGAAACTTTATGATTTGTTTGTGTCTAACCCTTATTAGACCAGGAGTGGCTTCAGTTGTTAAAGAAAGAGCAGCTTTAGGCCCCGGTCACACAGAAAGCGTTTTAGCAGCTGGAGGCGGCTTTTTGGATTTTTCAAAAAAATGACAATGAAGCCTTTTGCTCACAGTTTTTGCCATCATACTTAAAATACATGCCCACTTCTGTGAGCTTAGTTCTGCCTCCTGGCTTCTGGTTTGCATGTTGTTTCAATGTCTTTTTATTCAGTGATATATTTCTCTCCTCTCACTTTTAGACCACGAAGTGTCTGGAGCAGATCACTCTATCGGACAGAGTGTTGTGTTTGCACACTGCCTGGAACATCCTGTTTGCTGGACTCGCCAATGGATCAGTGGCTAGCTATGACTTAAAGGTGGGTGACTGTAATAAAGGGGAGGAAACTCAAGATTTCAGCACCATGAGTGGTTGGTATTTCTTCTGATTTGACATCAAAGTCCCGGTGAAAGAGAAGTTAGAGCATCTTTATCTTTTGTAGAGAATATTTGAGCGGAGTACAGTCACAAGAGGGGTTTAAATCACTTCCTTTGCAACTGATTAGACCAATAAAAAGTGGGCGGGCCTGGAGTTTAGCACATAATGATTAACTGAGGCAGAGACACAGAATTAAAACTGATAATGTATTTTTTATTTCACTGGCTCTTTAAAAACACTCATATGCTGTAACCTGAGTAAACCAACAATCTAAACTGGGTTTGTGTTAGTCATATTCTGTCAGATTATGTTTCTGGCACGTGTTAACCTGTAACCAGTGTATTTGAACGAACAAACGAAATAAATTGTTGACTATATTTTCAGAGCGTAGGTCTTGCCTTTGTATTCTTGTCTGTCGCAGTAATGTTCTGACAGCTGCTTTAAAACAGTAGCACAGTTATCTCCACATTTTCTTCAGCCCTGATCTCTCTGTCTTTCTCACTCAGACTCTGAAGCAGTTGGATGTGTTTGAGTGCCACGGCCCACGAGGTGTGAGCTGCCTGGGTACAGCACAGGAGGGCGCCCGCCGAGTCCTGCTGGTCGGCTCCTACGACAGCACCATCAGCGTACGAGACGCCAAGAGCGGCCTGCTGCTACGCACGCTGGAGGGTCACACCAAAACTGTACTCTGCATGAAGGTGAGGAGACAAACCCACATCTGAACACTTGAGCTGTTAAACTTTATAATGATTTTCATCCAGGTAAGGAGGCTAAATAACTGGAGATTCTCCAGTTTAGACATTTACATCGACTGGAAAAACGTTGGGTTGTATGTCTTGTAGATGAAGTGTAGATCTGGTCATTAAAGAGATTATTACTCGTATATCAGGTGTACTGAATTACAGTACAGTACAGTACAGTACAGTCTTTGTTGTTTTCAGGTGGTGAATGACCTCGTCTTCAGTGGCTCCAGTGACACATCTGTTCATGCCCACAACATCCATGTAAGTTAAAAAGTTTCCCAATAGCTAAAATTATCTACGAGTAAGGATGGACAGACACTTGAAGTTTGCTTTCCTGTCTTGCTACATTACAAATCTATTAATCTTAATTCCTGTGTCTTAAAAGTTGAGCACAAATTTAGTTATTAAAGTGACAAAAAAATGAGATTATTCAGATTTATAATCCTATTTAAATGTTAATTTATGCGGAGTGTGTGTCTGGGTTTTTGTTCTGGCATGTTTCTCTTTCCATTTCTTGCGTTCACTGTCTTTGTTTTTGCAGACGGGCGAACTGGTTCGTATCTACAAGGGTCACGGTCATGCCGTCACATCAATAGTCATCTTGGGGAAAGTGATGGTGACAGCCTGTCTGGATAAACTGGTCCGAGTTTACGAGCTCCAGGTACAGAATATATGACTCAAAATTTACCAAGATGTGTGTTTAAGAAAGTGGACACAGGCTGTTTTTTGCTTCACCAACCACAGTAAAATAATCAAAACAAGTTTTTTTCCTTTATTAATTTCAATTAGATTTCTCATAGTTTCCATTTGCAGTGTTAGAAGTGAGGTACAATCAGGCCGCCATTTAAAAAGATCTTAAATTTGACTCCTTGAAACCTGCAGATATATTTTGTTCTGGGTGTTTTTTAACTAACCCCTGTATCTGTCGTCTTGTGCATCACTTGAATCATCTATTAACTCGTCATTTAAACTTTGTGTGTCTTTCCAGTCCCATGACCGCCTGCAGGTGTACGGGGGTCACAATGACATGGTGATGTGCATGGCCGTACACAAGAGTGTGGTATGTTGCTAAAGCTGATCCAGCCATGTTTCTGAATCTAAATGTGCACAAACGATGGACTAATATTGTTAATCTAGGTATCTACCATTGTTTGTCTCACTCAGATCTACACAGGCTGCTATGATGGCAGTGTTCAAGCTGTGAAGCTCAACTTGATGAAGAACTATCGCTGCTGGGTAACGACTCATTACACAGAGAGTGAAGCTTAGAGGAAAAATTTTTTGTTATGTTTTTTTTATTGACTTGTATCTTGACGTGTGTCTCTGTGACCTTTGCCCCCTGTTCAGTGGCAGAATTGCGCTCTGATCTTCGGCATGGCGGAGCATCTTTTGCAGCACCTCGTCAAAGACCACAGCAACCCGAATCTGCAGTCTGTCAAATGCCGCTGGAGAGGCTGCAGCACTTTCTTTGGCACGCAGCAGTGTGTTCGGCAGGTAATGAAACGACGCCATCTTTGTTTTGACAAAGTGAAGATTACCAGTCGGCTCATTAGCCAAGCAGTGTGCATGAGTTCCTTAGTCTTGTTTGTATTTGTCCTGCAGAAGCTGCCGGAGCACATGCAGAACCACGCGGAGAACGACAGTAAAGTGCAGCTTTGACAGCAGTAGCGCTGAAGTAAGGTAGCAGATAAGGTTGGAGTCTCATCCATTACAACACATTGACTGATTTTCTCTTTCAAAGTTCTTCCGGATTTTCCGTTTTACTTTCTATTAAATTCCTGTGGGAGAACATATTTTTCTTGTATTTCCCATCTTATTTCCTCATCTCTTCGGTGTTGTGCACCCTGTGTGACCTCTGTGACAGTGAAACAAGGCAGGCCGCTTGTTATTGATCCCTGAAGCCGCTGTATGACAGGATTAAGACGTTCAATCTAAAACCTTTTGGGACCTTAGTAGCTTAGTAACCTCAGTAATTATTTGTGGTTATCAGTAATTCTTCTTTTTTAAACAAGTAATTCACCCCTCTTTTTTGGATCTGTTGGTCGATACCATAAAATATATTATACAGTAATCCTCCTCAGATATGTGTGTGTGAGGCTAATTATTCAGAGCATTTCTACAGCTATGCTGCAGCTTATAGTGTGAGCTGTTTCCAGACTCAGTTAACAGGTTTTAATTTGTGGAACACCAAAGCAGAAATGCCACATTGTCTGAACCCTGAACAAAATGAACTTATACATCAGTTATACATCAAATTTACAGTTTCATAGTTATTTTAAAGGAGTATTCCACCAATTTGGTGTTGTGTTCCTGTCACATTGTCAGACTCACACTAAACAGTTTAAAAAAAGGATTAAAACCAATGCAACAGAACAGGTGATATTGTCTTTAATCCATGCATTTGTCTTCCCTCTTACACCTGGCACCTATAATACCCACAATGCAACTCAACTGCTTACAGGTCAGTTGCAGAGTCACGTGTATAATGCTAATAGGGGCTAATATAGCATCCAGCTGATAGATTCAAGCAGAGATGAGAAGCCGGCTACAGTAGTCTGGTAAGCTCTAGGCTTGGGCACAATCAAGTTATTATAGTATACTGGGGTATCTATAAAAACTTATATGGAGAGGCTGTATTGAGGATGTAATGTATGTAGTGCACTTCACGTGCCACTAGAAGTCAGTTTCTGCTGGTGGAACAGGAAGCTGAGCTGGCAAACATGGCAGCTGCCAGTAGTGAAGACAGGATTAAACAACCAGTTAGCAATGGCAGAGAGACACAGAGGGACTAAACAACATATTTTAACATCTAACTCTATGAATTATGGATTTATGTCAACCAAACCAGAGTTGGTTATTGTTGTAAGAGTGGACTAACTAACTAGACAACTAACAAGATTAACTAAGACAGACCAGAATTCACTGGTCAGAGAGGTTAAGAAGTGCTGCACACAAATACCAGCATAAACCGCATACCCTGGTAAAATTTCGGGAAGGTTTGAGAAAATAGATGCCGCCCAAGCCCAGTAAGCTTCTTCCTAACTCCACACATCCAGATTGGTTTCATTTCCAAACTTGTAGCCTTCAACTCCCACTGAGGCTGACTCAAGTCACATCACTTTAGACAATTTATCAGATTTAATGCAGCTCTCTAATTTTAGGAAAGGTTGGGGCTCTGAGGAGGATTTTCAAATCTTTTGGGGTTGTTATCAGTTCTCTTTGGTCAGGACATGCATACGTGGACGGTAGCTCAAATATGGAAACAAACAGGCTCAACTTGCTGGTATACTGTATTATATTTAGAAAGTGCAGTTTGGGAGTTACTCCAGGGTTTTAAATCCACACGTTAATATTTCGCAACCTACTTCCTGTATAAAGAATAAAAATCTTTACCACCTGCTGTCACGTCAGATTTCTCTTTTTTTTGAGTCGGTAAATTGTTAATTGTTGGTGATACCACAGTGTAAAGACAGTATATCCTTAACTACTTCTTGACTCAGACATTTGCTCCTGTCACACTTCAGAACTCTGAAATAAATTCCTTGTGTTGACCGAGAGGTTTGGTTTAAAAAAAAAAAATCCTCATCCATAAACGTATAAACCATCTGTTAATTTATAATGTTTCCCACAGAGTTATTCTAGGCAATGAACTTGTTCCTTTTATCACTTTTTCCTTGTTTGAAAACTCACGCTTTGAACAATAGACGTAAGTAGTTGTGAAAGTTGTCAGACCAAACCTGTAAAGAGAGTTGTTCAGTTCAGTGAATTCAGTGTTAAAGTCATGCCTTAATTTTTGTATGTAAAAGTGTACAGTGTGTATTTGACCTGTGTTTAATACCTTCTGTATGTGTACAGCAATAAAGCAACAAATTTACAGTGTTCACTTCAGTTTATTTTAAAAACAATGTACAGCACATTCAGTATTTCTCTTGTCAAACAGTGTTCATACACTCAATCTTTATATTCTAACATTATTCAGCATTTGCATCTGTGCATTACTAACCATATGTTATTTATGACATGAGACTTACAAAGGTCAACTCTCCGCTTCGCCGCCCATCACTGCTTCATACCAGACACTAATGTAACATGATTATCAGGTTACACTGACTTCAGCATTCATCAAAGTATGTCACTCTCATCAGCAGTGTAGGGTCGAGAAATCTGATGACGTTTCAGGAATCAGCCTAATACTGATAGGATGTCAGTCGCCTAAAAATGAGCTAAAATTAAGCTGACATTAAACCTAAACCATCATAGTCTGAGTGATGACTGAAATTTAAATGTCACGTAAAACTGGAGAAATGATCAAGCGTCAAATTTTGACCTCAAGACTTTGTTGTGCACCTGTGCAAAAATACAGTTTGTTCAGTAATGCTGAAGAAAAAATAAAGTTAAGTTGCTGTCCAGGAGAGTTGTGTCACTAACGTGAGCTCCAGCTGTCTGCAGCTACATCAGTGGTCAAGAAGGTGGCTTAAGAATACAAGGTGAGCTGAAGCCACTGGAAAGAAAAGCAAAAGATGAGAATAAAGATAACAGACAAAAAAATAAAAACCACCACAAATGCAATCCAGTACAGCAGTGCAAATCAAATCAAAAGTGAAACATGTTGTAATTGTTTGCATCAGTTAGCTATTGATTATTTTTTCTTAGACTTAATTATGAGCTGCAACTAGTAAAGAGAGCTCAGCATATGTTTCAGTGCTGCATACATATTTATTTTTGGTCTTTTCAATTAAAGGGTGACAGCAAACACCCCTCTGGTATAACGTAGCCGAATGCAACACCGCCTCAAAGTCCAACCTCAAAATATAATACTAAACAGCATTTTAAGGAGGGTAGTAATTACAACAGAGCTACAGCTGTTCCTATTTTTCTGGTCACTCAGACTGCGACCATGTCAAAGCTCTAATAATCATAGAGCAAATATGAGTAATACCACACGCAAGACAATATAGAAATGCATTAAAAGATAGCACAAGACACACACTTTCACTTTGTAGATCACAAAAACTAAAACTGCCTTACCTCCAGGACGTTGAGCTTGATTACTCCATCTCCGTCTTTGTCAAAGGCATTAAAAGCTCCTGCAGGAGACACAACAGTCTTCAATCAAATCTCTAAGGTAACCTTTAATTCATGCAGTATCACAATGCTACAATAAAGGGACCTACTATAGGTTGAATTTTGTCATAAAAACGTACTTGTCATAGCACTGATTTAGTTTTGAAGATAAAGGGTAACGTTGGTTCTTTTCCACCTGGGTCCTATTTCCCCATATTGTTATCTCTAAATGACTAATTGGAACAATTTTTGAAATCAGTCCAGTATTGAACAAGAGCGCTGTGGTGAAACAGGCTGCAATAGAGCCACTCAGGGCATTTGCGTATTGTCGAATTCACATCCACTAATCATGCTTGTTTTTGTAACGCACAGGCTTAGACTGTTATTCTAAGGCCCAATCCCAATACCCCCCCTTGTCCACTACCCCTTAGCCCTTGGCCCTACCCCTACCCCTAGCCCTTGCCCACTACCCCTTGGCCCTCAAAATGAAGCAACGAGGGGTAGAGGTAGAAATCTTTCCCTAGGAATTGGGACACCACTCACTACATCATCGCGTCGGTTATGTTCACGCATACGCAACTATTTTAAACAGGAAGCTGTGAGCCATCCACATTTCCAACCGGCATCTACAATGGAGGCTCATTCATCCTACCGACCGCGTTTGCCGCATTCATCATGCTTCGTTTGTTGAATGACAGACGACAGGGGACTTCTGCTAGCTAGCTAACCAGCTAACATTACGAGGCAGCATAGTTATACTAGCTGGCGTGTTATCGTAATGTGAAAAGTCAGACAATTTTGCAGAACAGGACAGATGACAGACACCAGATAGTGCGAGCTAGCTAGCTAGCTAACAAGCAACCTGACGACAGTAACGTTAGCTATGTATGAGCTTTTTTCCCCGTCTCTTGCTTGGTGGTAGCCATGGCGACTTTTACCCCTTGCTGGCAAGTCAGCATCTGAAATCCCTCGCTCTGAAGGGCTACTTTGATACCCACCCCTCGTTATGCCCCCTACCCCTACACGCAAAAAGGAATTGGGACACCACTATCTCGCGGGAATGCGCAAATGTGGGGTAGGGCCAAGGGGTAGGGCTAAGGGGGGGTATTGGGACAGGCTGTAAGTGTCTGACACCATTATAGAAATAGACCTTTTTATTAAAGACTAAAGGCCCAGACACACCTAACCAGCTTCAGAGAGCTGGTGTCAACGAAAGCTTCCTGCTGTGTGGCCTGACATTGACATGTCTTAGGCAAACAATTCCACCTGAACACACTGCAAAGACTTCAACTGTCGATCAAGGAACATGTACGTTCTGTGCTTGGGTGAGAGGAAGTAACTCTTCACATCACCAGACAGCAATCGTCTGTAATCCTCATTCAAAAAGGGAAATTGGAAGACCATCTTGATGCTAGTTAGCTAGTGAGCACATTAATAACACAATCCAATATGGAAAGAACAAGTATTTACCGTGTACTAGTGAACAATAACACAAACCATCACAAAATGTTTCTGCTAAATAGCTCGATGGCTAAAGAAAAATAATCGTACCTCAAATAACAAGTTTGTTTTGTCCCTAATCCCTCTTGACTTTAGCTTTTTGTTTACTTTCCTCACTGCTGTTTTTTTTATGTGCTGAGCTGAACTGCCAATCAGAGTGATGTCATTCACTGATGGACTACACCATCTCCAACGCGGATTCAATATGCTGAATCAGTGGAAAAAAAGCAGACTACTGCCGACAAGGGGCAAAAGTGTGGGACACACCGCAGCAAAGACCGTCCCGGATGCTCACCGATGCTCCAACATTGACCATGCGCTTGTTGGGTCAGGGGCTTGATTTCCTAGCCCAGAAATCGCTATCACCACACCCACCAGACTCCATTTAAATAAACAGTAATTTTAGCATGTATGGAACCAGTGTATTTTCACATCTAATTGCGTGATTGAGGGTTTATTTCAACTGCCAGCTGCAGCCATATTGCTCAATACTGGACCAGTTTCAAAAGTTGTTGTTCCCATTTGTCACTTAGACAAAAAAAAACATGAGAAAATAGTGTCCAAGTTGAGAAATACCAAAGTTACCCTTTTAGGTGTCAGCCTTACTGGTAGTACTTCTGTTTATCAAATATATCAGGTCAAGTTTAAACTAACTTTGTGTCCCCATAGTACCAGAATATTTGATGACACATGCAGACATGAGACTGATGCAGTCAGTCCTTAAAATATAGTCTTCATTCATTTTTTCATGTGCAAACTCAGGTGTGATGTGTACTTACTGAACATGCCCTCTAGTCTCACAAAACAGCAGATGTAGCTGTCAAAGTCGATGTTGAGCTGTTCATCTGCGTAGCGCATGGCTATAATGTCATACAGCTGTCTGTTGAGGTTAAACCCTTCATGTGGAGAAGATGGCACAAAGATGGTCGATAGTTAATATCACATGACAGGTTCTTAACAGGCTGCAAAATGTGGGATGTGATTTCTGACAAAGGTGAAGGTAGGACAAACCTGTGAACAAAATTAGGAATATAACTCTAATATGGTTTTATTTTAATTTTGTATTGTGTTGTAAACTTCAGTCAACTACAAATTAAGTCTAATGAAGTTTTATGACGCCCCCTCACCTGCATTTTTAACAGCGTTCCTCATCTCAAAACTACTGATGGAGCCAGATTTGTCTTTATCGTAACGTTTGAAGATCAGCTGCAAACACACGAAAAGAAGGACAGTCAAATGAAAACTTGTAGGTTTGTTAAACATGAGCAGAAGCTCCAGAGTGTTAACAACAGTCCTACCTGCCACTCCTTGATCTTTTTCCACAAATGTTTGAACTCCTGCAGGTTCAGCTTTCCCGTCCCATCAGTCTGAGAGAGGGTCAGTTATGGAAATACCAACACAGCTAGATGATTTGAGAGAGTCACTCTTGACTCTTGGAATGAGCTTTGTCCACATGAAATTTTGCCTCATCATATTTGAGTTTATTTTGGGGCTGCGTCCTCGATTTTCGTAGCTTTATCTTTGATGCATGCTGCCTTATGTCACAGTGTGCACTTCCGACCTGCCATACATGCCAGTCTGCCACACCTACCTGCCAGCCTATCACCAGTCCATACATCTCCCACTTCTGCTGGTCCACCACACCCACCTCATCAAGCTAATGCATCTCACCTGTGGATCATTTCCTCCTGCCAGTATAAAGACTCCTGTTTCATAGACTGTCCTTGCCAGGTTGTTCTCTGTCATTCGCATGCAAGACTCTTCAGCATTTATTCCCAGACTGCTTCCTAATTGCTAACCTTGCCTGTTCCTGACTCTCCTGTTTCGTCTGCTCCCCGGGAAACCACTTAGCCTTCTGTCCCTGACCAAGAGTTCTGCTTCTACATTTGTGGTTTCTGTTCAACTGTTCCATGTTGCTGTGTGGAGTGACTGCCAGTCAGCTCTCCATTATGAGTTTATCTGTTCTGCTGCCTGTGATTGCACACGTGGTTGCACACTTTGCCTCAGTGTGTGCGCCAAAGAGTCCACGCATCATCGCTGTTGTCAAGACCCTTGCTCCCTACAGTCAGCTCCACACAGGCGTGTAGGCCTCTCTCAGGTGTACTCCTGGTACCAGACTCCCTGCTTGTCCGACATTACCCTCTGCCTATTATAAACTGTGCTTCCGTGTTTGGTGCTGCTATTGGGTTCAAGCCACACTTGTGATAGCTTATGGTCTGGTACCTGATCGCTACCTTTTTATTAGGTCTCAACCTCAACCACATCCTGAACATAGCAGAAAAAGTGCCTGTTCTACACAGAGATTGTATTAAATA